CAGGTGGCATCATTGATGGACTCAAGTGTGGCAGCGGTAGTGAGGTTGGCCCAGGATCGGACATTGTTTCATTCTGCTGTGCATAGGGTCGCTATGAGTCGGTTCCGACTCGATGGCACCTGACAACAACAACAACAACAACAACAACAGATCCACAAGCAAAAACTTAACGCTGTAACTTTTTCTTTGTTTGTGTTTACTTGATTTGGAAATGGACCAAGAAAGCTATGTATAATCTTACTTCTACATCTCAAGGTATTGAGCTATGTGCGTTAAGTTGTTTTTCTAATACTATAGAAGGTTTTCTGCTGTTCTTTGTACCTACTTTTCCACTTGTCTTTGTGACTAGCAAATGGTACAGTTTTTCAGTTGGTTGAGAAGTTAGTGCTAACTAACTCAGCTAATAATCTGCCATAGACAGATTGCATATCTGACAGGTGTGATGTTAAACAAAAGAGAGTTCAGAGTTAATTATATGAATGTATTGCATTCATCTTGACATATGCTGATTTTTCTTTATATAGGAGGAATTTGTGAAATGGAAGGGCTCTCTGTTCTTCCGATTTGTCAGCACTCTGATAGATTCACACCCAGACATTGCCAGGTAAATCCTTGCCCTCAAATGCTAGACAATTTAGTCTGTGTAACTAATTTTTGGTATATACTTATCTCTTTCCTTTCAAATTCATTTGTTGTGGTTAGTGCCGTTTGACCGATAGTGACCCTGTATAGGGTTTCCATCTAGCGGCTAGTGAGTTTGAACTGCCAACTTTGAGGTTCAAACTAAACTTATGGCGCGCAGCACATGAGACTCCAAATTAATTTAGATTTGACTTTTTTAGTATATAATGAGTCTTTGGCAGTTGCCAGAAAAACTAATTTTTAAAATACTAAGTTTTCTAGTAAAACTTCATATTTTAAAAATAAGGAGTCTGCCCAGATTTGCTAACATTACCTGCTCTTCCTAAAGGAGTAATGAAGATCACTATGTGCCTTTGTCATATTAAACTGCTTGTGCGAGTTCTGTGGTAGTGCTGTAAGACAAGCTCTGGACTGCAGTACTATACTGCCAACCACAAGGTCAGCTTTTCAAACCCACCAGCCACTCCTCTGAAACCCTATATGGGGTCACTATGAATCGGGATGTGGCACTTAACGACAAGTATGCATGCCATTAAACTATATTAGCTGCTTACTTAATATGTTGATTTCTAGACCAGTAAAATGCTAGTTTTGATAAGGAATCCAGTCTTTATTTTAAGGAAGAAATTGTGGGAATTAAGATAGAATTACAGCATGAAATAGAAAGTACAAATTGCAAAGCTCTCTGAAAAAGAATTGGTTGGGGAGGGAGTTAATTTGGCAACTCCTGCCGTCTCTAATTTTTTTACTCCTAAGTTTTATTTGGACACCAGGTGTGGCACTGTAGGATCAACACTGCACTACAAACCATAAGGTCAACATTTCAAACCCTCCACATGCTCCTTGGAAACCCTACACATGGTAGCTATGAGTCGGAACCAACTTGACGGCACTTAACAACAAGAAGTTTTAATTTATTTTGTTGTTGATGAGAATATGCTCAGCAAAACATACACCAATTGAACAGTTTCTACATGTACAGTTTAGAGACAGTGATGTCATTTTTCAAGTTGTACAACCATTCTCACCCTCCAAGTTGTTCCTCCCTCACTAACATCCCCTCACTACCTCGTAAGGTTTCTGTCTAATCTCTGAGTTGCTGTTGTCAGTGTGGTCCATATTAACTAAATCCACTGCCATCAAATCGATTTCATCTTATAGAATCCCTACAGGTAGAGTACAAGTGCCCAGTTGGGTTTCTGAGATTTAAATCTTTATGGAATCAGACAGCTTCATCTTTCTCCACTGAGTGACAGGTGGACTTGAACCACCAACCTTGTGGTTAACAGCACAACACTTAACCCACTACATCATGAGAGCTCCTTGATTCCACATCGTTGTTGTTAAGTGTCCTCAAGTCAGTTCCAAATCACAGTGACCCTGTATAAGATTTCTGATGAATGGCTGGTGGGTTTGAACCACCGACCTTGTGGTACAAGTCAACCTTCTGGTCCAGAGCTTTATTCTACAGCACCATCTCATATAGATAGGTCTTAAGAGCATAGTGCGTGGAGCAGATCTTTTTTTATACTAGTTAAGCTAAACAGTTGTTCAGTTTTAACATAACTTCAGGGAGTATTTTTGATTTGAGGTTTAAAGATGCTCTAAGGCCAATCGTTTAGGGGTTTATCCACACTCTGTGGCTCTAGACAGTCTAGAGTCCATGAGAATTTGGAGTTCTGTTCTGCATTTTCCTGTCTTTGATCAGGATTCTTCTATAAAATCTTTGATTAAAATGTTCAATAATGATAGCTAGACACACCGTCCAGTTCTGTGGGTTTCATGGCAAAGGAGGCAGATATTTGATGGAAGCACTTAACCACATGTTCAATATCTTCCTCCTGTTCCTGACTTTCTTCCTTCCTTTGTTGCTCCAGCTGTGTAGAAACCAAATTCAAGTCTTTGAAGATCCCATGTACTGCACAGTGAACTAGAAGGCAGTATAGAAGCACTAAACATTTTATTAAGCTAGTTAACTGGGCTGATTCATGAAACCATGACCCTAACCCTAACCCTCCAAACCAAAGAACCAAATTCACTGAGTGTGTTTGGTTATAGAAAAGCAACCTCAGCCTGTAGTCTTGTTGTAAATAATCTTCACATGCTGGTGTTAGGTGCCATCAAGTCGGTTCTGACTCACGGTGACACACCAGAATGAAATATTGCCCAATACTGCAACATCTTCACAGTTGTTTTTATGTTTGACCCCATTTGTACTGCCACTGTGCCAATCCATCTCATGGGGGTTCTTCCTCTTTTTCGTTGACCCTCTTACCAAACATGATGTCCTTCTCCTGATAACTTGTCTGTAATAAGAAAGACAGTTTCACAATCCTTGCTTAACAAGTACTTCTTCAGACACAGATTTGTTTGTTTTTCTGGAAGTCTATGGTACTTTTAACATTCTTGCTCATCACCATAACTCAAATGCATCAGTTCTTCTATGGTCTTTCTTATTTATTGTTCAATTTTCACATACATACGAGGCTGTTGAAAACACCATGGCTTGGACCAGGCACACCTTACTCCTCAAACTGATGTCTGGATTCTTGAACACTTTCAAAAGATCTTGTGCAGCAGATTTACCTAATGCAGTACATCTTTTGATTTCTTGACTGCTGGTTCCATGAGTGTTGATAGTACAACCAAGCAAAATGAAGTCTTTGATAACGCCAGTCTTTTCTCCATTTATTATGATATTATTTATTGGTGCAGTTGCTGCCATTGCATTGAGGCATAATCCATACTACAGGCTATGATCTTTGACCTTTATCAGTATGTATTTTAAGTACTATTTGCTTTCATCAAGTAAGGTTGTATCACCTGCATATTGCAGGGTTGTTAATAAGTCTTCCTCTAATCCTGATAGCATGCCCATCTTCATAAAATCTAGTTTTTCAGATTATTTGTTCAGCAAAGACATTGATGAATAAGTATGCTGACATCAGATGAATCTTGACTGAAAGCAGAGAATACCAGAAAGATATTTACTTGTGTTTTATTGACTATGCAAAGACTTGTGACTGTGGATTATGGCAAGCTGTGGATAACATTGCAAAGAATGGGTATTCTAGAATATTTGATTGTGCTTATAAGGAATCTGTACATCTATCACATAACCTTTGGCAATTCAACTGTTTACAGAAATTTAACTTACTTACAGCAGCTAAAATAATCAACTGTACACACCTACCTTTAATTAGTGTGATTTTCCATCATTGTTAATTCCCTTTTAAAGTAACCACTAATGTGGCACTGTGTAGGATTAGCATTGGAATGCAGACATCAGTTCAAACACATCAACTGCTTCTCAGAAGCACTATACAGGGTCACTATGAGTTGAAACTGACTCAATGACACTTAACAACAACAACAATACACTTTAGTCTCTGTACATTTGCCTTTTGTGTGGTCGTACAATGTTTGCCCTTTTGTGATTGACTTATTTGGCTCAGCATGTCTTCAGGCTTCATACTGTAGCATGTATCAAGACTTCATTTCTCTTACTAAGTTGTATTCTGTTGTATGTATTTGCCATATTTGGTTTAGCCATTCATCTGTTGATGGACATTTAGGTTGTTGCTACTCGCTGGCTATTCTGAGTAGTGCTGCAATGAATATTGGGTACACGTCTCTTTTTGAGTCTCTGTTTTGAATTATTTAGGGTACATATCTTGGAGTGGAATTGCTGGTCATACGGTAACAAAAGACAAATTAAATGGAGTTTCAAAAAAATTGTAAACTTTTCGTTCATCAAAAGGTGTTACCAAAAAAGTGAAAAGACAGACTACCAGTGGGAGAATATCTTCAGAAATCTAATACCCAAATATGTAAAACTTTGGCAACTTAACAATAAAAAGACAACCAAATCACAAAGTGGGCAGAGGACTTAAATAGACGTTTTAGATGATTTGCAAACACATAAAAAGGTGCTCAGGAGCAGCCACCAGGGACGCAGAAACCAAAGTCACAATGAAATACCATTTCATTGGAGTCCTGGTGTGGCACTATAGGATAAGCACTGGACCTCACAATCCGTGGTTCAAACCCACCAGCCGCTCCTTGGAAACCCTGTACAGGGTCGCTATGAGTCGGAATCGACTCAACAGCACTTAACAACAGCAACAACAGGATGGCTAAGATAAAACAAAACAATTAATTATTAAGGATGTTGGAAAATTGGAACTTGTATGCATTGCTGGTGGGAATGCAAAATAGTACAGCCATTGTGGAAAGCAGTGTGGCAGCTCCACAAAACCCTAAAAGTGGTGTTGTTATCATATGACCCAGCAATTCCACGTCTATAATTTATTTAGAGATTTCTTTTCAGGGGTTTGAGAAATGATCTGACAGAATTTGCTTCCTTAGATTATGCATGAATAATTCTGTTTCATCAAATCTATAGTTGGAAAATAGAATGTGAATACCATGGCAAAAGCCAACCCCAGCTGGGAAAAGGGCCTTTTTAGAGTTCATTAGCTATAAATAGGTTTTAATAATGGGTCCTCTGATTCTAAATATGGTCACAAATGATTTACTCAGAATTCCATGGAAGAATTTCTGATCTGTTTTCATTGGCTGTAGTTTTCAAAGAAAAGCTTTTCACATAACAAACTAGTAGAAGGTTAATGGTCTAATTAGTACTGTCTAGCGGCAGAATAGAAAAGCTAGGGCTATACCGTTTTCTTTATCTATGTAATTGGGAAAGTGACTGAGATAGCTTTACATTGCATCTGTCATACTAGCTTACAAAGTCCTCATAGTCCTCTTTACGCAGTGTGTTACAGCCAAGGAACAGGCAAAATTAGAAGTGCTTAGAATGCTTTTGGATGATGGGCCTGAAAGTTCAGATTGATTTTTTTTTTTTTTTTAAATCTGCGTGTCCTCATTTTTGTCAGCTTCTGTGCTTGTTTGTTAAATATATTTAATCATGCATAAAGTAGATCGATGTAGAACCAATAA